TTTCTCTCTCAAAGTTTTCATTTTTCGCTGGAAACCATTCATAAGGCTTTTATCAATTGCTACACTCCTAAAACTCCCCAGTTCTATCCTATCAAAGGTGGAGAAATAACATAGCTTCTCGCTGTATAAAATACCATAAACAGTATATAGTGAGAAAACAGTTATTAAATGGATCTAGTTCAGCTGCTCCCAAGCCACTCATCAGGGAAAAAAAAAATCATATTTTCCAAATATGTTTTTAAACCAGGCTTTTTTTTCCCCTTCACCTCTTTTTAGTATAGCAGATTTCATTACCATGTGGCAGGATGATTCATCCATTTCTGGTCCAGAAATGCCTAGATTTAATTCTTACACCTGGACTGATGCTCAGGAGCTAGGTTGTCATAAGCGCACAGAAGGGACATCCTGACCCAGTCGATCTCTTGCATACCTCATGGAAGGTACCAAAAAAAGTACCTACCTTACTTGAGGGGGCCCTAAAGTAATTTTCATCCCTCTCTTCCTGTCAGCTGCTGACCTACAGGGCGTGGGGAAGGCTGAAGAACCAGGGCCTTGGCGCACACTGGAGATACCTGGGGACATGAGGGTCCCCTACTGATGGCTCAGCCCTCCGGCAGGGGAGCAGGAAGGGGAAGGCGGGGAGGATCCTGACTCGGGATCTAGAGCATGGGGTGACCGAGATGGGTCCTGCTATGGAGGACAGGCTTACAGCCTCCAATTCTGGCTGTGTTTCCCAAGGGCAAAGGGTAATTATCTTACACAAGCTGTTTAGTCTTCTACTTATCTATAGTGTACTGGCCTTATCTTTTGATTCCTTGGGAGGTTTCTCTTCATCAGCAGGGCCTTCACCTCATTTCTTCGAAGCCTGTTTTCTAAAGCATTAAAAATGTGCTTCGCAACAATTCAAAGACCATCTCCTTTGCTTTCAGCTGTTCCATATTGTGCTATAGCTTCAAGCTATGCAATGAATAACTTCACACTGAAATTTCTCCATTAAATACTCTATTGAGTAAAGTGCAGGTTTTAAGTTCTAAAACATTAAAACAAAGAAACAAAATTCACAATGATCTCTATGTCTATTACCTCGGAATGCCACAAGTTAGGAAGATGACATCTGCCACTTCGGAGTCTATTAGTTCCCTTCAATTCCCTTGCCCGTGGCTATGCCCAGGGCCCAAATCTCAGAGGAAAGTGTCAAAACCCCGTCGTAAAGCGATCTCATCCTGGTACCTACCATCTGAAAAATAATCTGACCTCTCAAGCCTAAGATTTAGCATCCCCAAAGTGTGTAATATTGAAAAGCAAGTTTTGCCCTTTCCTCATTCATTCTTTCCCAAAGTAGGGTGATGGGGGAATGCAAACCAATGACACTGATTGACGAAAGAGTTAACATCGGTGGCAAGCCAGTAGAGGAAAACCAGTGGAGAGGCATAGCTTGTTATCTGGAGCAGATAACCTCAAAGCAGCCTGAGCAGTGACTGATGATGAAGTAACGGTGATAAGAAACACGCTTCCTCACGTGCTTTCTCACTGCAGCAATCTGGAGGCATTGCAGCTGAGCATCGCACTTCTGGCACTGTCCCTGCACATCTGTAGCATCCGTTGAGAAGAGTGCTTTCCTCAACCTCCTTGACTCCCTGCAGCAAATTTGTCCCAAACTCAAAAGAGAAAAAATGCTGGTGTGTATTTTCCTAGCGTCTTGGAGTTGTCCGCATCTGCATTCACTGTTATTTAATATGTTAGTGTGTTATGCTTTGTATGTTTGGCTTAATATCACCAGTTAATGTTCTGCTGACTAAAAAATAAAGTAGCATGATAAATTCTGTGAAATTAGCTTATCTGAGGAGGAGGGACAGAAAGATTCAGAAAAAGGGGAAGCAGTGCAGGATAGCGTGTATTCAGTCCTCTTTTCAAAAGCTTCTTCCCCCAAATGAGAATTGTTGGAGAACGCCTCCCTCCCTCCCTCCCTCCCTCCGCAAATCTCTTCCTTCTTTGAACCAAACTACAGGCTCCAGCAACAAGGCAGCTAATAATAAACTCTTCAGCTGAACTCTAGGAAAGCAGTTTGGTCAAGGTTTTGCCTGCCAAGTGCTGACCAACACATGTTCCCAGCTGCCAGCAGTGACTCACCGCAAGCCATGTTTTTTATGAACCGGTTGTGCTCTAGCCGTCTCCCCATCGGAGCACATTTTGCTCCAAACAAGGCCTCCCACTTCCAAACGATGGAGTCAAAGGCACTTGAGTCATAGTCCTCCTACCATGTCTCATGTCAATGGGGCATACAGGGACTACTCTGGTCACAATACATTAACACAACTGCTCTTACACCATGGCTCCTGAAACAAAGAACCCACTGCTGCTGTTACTGCTGCCCACTCCAGCAGGCTGTACAGGAACAGCACTGGGATTTCTACAGCGCCAGCCGGCAGACAGGACAGGACTCCTTTCAAAATGACGTTTTATCAAGGGTTTGTATAACAAAACTTGGTTCTTGCCTTGGGTTTCCCCTGTACTGCCTTCTCTTCCCAGTGAGGATACTGGGCAAAGAGGGAACACCAGCTGGGACAGTGGGCATAACATCTCCCACTGGACAGGCAAGAGCTTGAACTACTCGGCTGCATTTTGGCCCAAGAGCAACCTCTGGTGCTTCACTGGAAATGCTGACACAGCTGGCTAGCGAATTTGGAGTTTTTAAAAGATGCGCATGTCACCTTCCTGAACGGAGGAGCCTGGTGCCAGGTGAAGCAGTCAGTGCTGCTGAAGGCACATGGCTCCCACTCCCTCCAGAGGTTGCTCAGACATTGCCTGGAAATGCAGCAGGGACTGTAGAAATGGGAACGCACTGAGTAGGGTTTTCTGAGGGAGGGGAAATAACCCCTTTAGGAGCCACAAAAGCATGAGCACTTGCAGGCAAACAGCATGCATGCTGGTGCAGGGATGTATGGAAACCAGGTCAGCCTAGCTCCTCCCTGTGCTGCCCCAGAGATAAGGAAGGGCGTATGGGAGGAAGTTTGGGCTCAGAAATGGTGTGGACAAAGAAAGCTTCTTGGATCAGGACACTACTGAATTACACAGCTCTCACCAGTGCCAATGCTATGGCTTCGTGGCCCCATTCCCCCTTTTGACAAGGCTCTTGTAAAGCAAGGAAGGGGTTGGGATGATTTGGAGTTTAACTCTCGAGTACTGCAGACATTTGGGACACTCCCCTGACCACAGCAATGTTGTTTTCATGAAGGAGAAGGGGGTTATGATTGTTTCCTAAGGGTGGAACTACCCTGTCTCCTCCTTTTGTGGTGAAATCTCCTCCTGTCACCACCAGACTGCTGGCTCTCTCCTCCCTCCCTGCCACCCCACCAAGCGCAACAGCACAAGCATTTCTGGAAATGCTGAGATAAACCTTGCATTTCTCAGGGGAGAAATAACTCACATTGGTAGCACCACATTACCCGGGAGAAAGAAAGAAATGAAAGCAAGTTAACATGCAAAAATCCCATCATGTCACAACAGTGCACTTACTATTGGGATAGTGAGGTACCCGCTGCTTGCTAAAACCTTTGGCAGTTCATTGCAAGAGCATGCTGACCAGGGATAGCTAGGTAGTGGGCAACACAGAGGGAAGCTATTTTTTAAAGGTGTTAATGAATCTAACATTTTTTACTCAGCTGGAGGTGACAGAAACAAACAGTTAACATTTCTTCCCATTTCTCAAGATTTTTTTTCTTTTTTGCTATTCCAGGGCCTAATCCAGAAAAAAAAAAAAAGGAGTAGGAAAAAACCCTATGTGCAGCCTTATGGCAGGGCCTTCCCAGCCCCAGAAGATGGCTTTTCAAAAGCCACAGATGCTGGCTCTGTGGTTGGCTGACCTATCCAAAATAAAGCTCAACAGCAGGGAGCAGTGAAGTAGTTCAGGGGGTAGAAGAGGTCATGCGAATGTGATCCTCACCTCCCGAATGCTGCATCTCCTTACACTGCCTCCCCCTGCTCCTTTTGGGATGGAGGGAATTGTTGACTTATTTTTTTATTTTCAGCCTGCCTTTGCTTTCCGTTTGCCAAGTGGGGTTGTTGAAAGTGACTCTTGTTGCAGGCACTTTCCCAGGAGAGAAAAAACAGGGTGAACTTTTATCCCAATGGCTTACAGTTGAAAAAGCAGCCAGCAGCTTGGATGATGACTCCCTTAGGCTGCTCCAAGACACAGTTGGCGCTGTGGGAGCTCAGCGGCCACCGCGTCACCTCCCCATGTCTGGAGGCACAGGAGTCAGCCTGCCCCAGGTGAAGCTGTTGGCTGCAGGCTTAAACAAACACTTCCCCAAGGGAAAGAGAGCACGAGCGATGAAAAGAGGAGCCTTGAAGGCTGCTGCCCTGTCTAGAGATGCATGCACCGCCTTCTTCACATGAGAAGGCCATTTTCAGTGAACAAACATCGAAAAAAGGAAACGAAGCAGAAAAAAGGGAAAAAAGTGACCAAGTGTTTTAATCATTTTTGACATCAGAATACATTCATATCATATACTTTTATTTCTTCTTTGAGAGGAGCGCACAGCATATGTACTGACTCAGCTGGCAGTACAGCTTCTGTGAGTCTACAGGAGGTCCCACACCACCGCTCTTGCGAATACCTGCAAACCCTGCTGCACATCAGTCCATGGGCTGAAGGAAAGCCCAGCTGGGCAGAGGCTACCTAAGAGGCGTGGATCCTTTTTTACAGCCAGCACATTCATTTCTGTTGAGGTATGGGCTTTATTTTCATAATGCTAATGATCAAATAATGAAACCAACCACTTCTTGTGTCTGATCAGGGCATTTCTGAAGCGTTATGTTTGCCAAGAAAATAAAGCAAGTCTAAAAATCACACCTTCCTCTGGGCAGATATTAGAGTGAAGTGGATAACAGGACTGTACTTGTATATTTTGATGCTGGCAGCAAGGGAGGTTTTCATAGCAAGTGTTTGACTTACCCTAAGCACTACGCAACAGCGAGCTGAAAGACCTGCTGTCACTTACCAAACCTCTTGTAGCCAAAGGACTGCACCTCCTCCTCCTCTGCAAAATCGTCTGGAGAAAGAAAGAAAGACACAGCAACAGATTACCACTACCACTGGAAAAAGATGGGAAGAAGTTTTTACAGGTGCATGTTTATAAATTAAGGTACTTGAAAGTTTACTCGATTTGTAAGGCATGCTACTGATCTTCCCCTCCGTTGCTCATATCCCACCTCTGTCCCTGGGCAGAAAAGGCAGTTCGGAACCTTTCCCCCAAACCAGTATCACCAGCAGAAATCCAGACTACAAATGGTTTATCACCTGGCAGCTATCCTGAAGCCTGCTTGGCCACCTCAGTATAGACCAGAGCAGACATGTCCCTCATCACTCTGATGGCCACAATTGTCACCAGAGTGCCGCTTGGGCAGGCTCGCCCAGACCACAGCACTTGCTCCAGCCTGCTGCCTGCGCTGTCCAGGCTGTCGGGCTCAGGTGATACGTGCACCAGCTGGGCTGTTTGCACAAAGTGCTATGCACAGCTGTGCTGAGTAACAAGAGAGGAGTCAGAGGGGGCGGCTGTCCGTCCATCTACCACCTCCCATGGCCACTAGCTTGATTTGATAGAAAATGGGAAACAGAACTGATAAACTCAAACGGATGAGAAAAGTAAAAACCATTTAAGCCCTTTTGTTCTCATCTTCACCAGCTAGCAAGCAGTTAAATGCTAATAATCACAATTTTATTTTGTCAGAAGCTTAATTTCTCTCCACTTCCTTCCGGCAGCAAAGGAAAAGGCTGGCATCAGCAGAAGAAATACACCCACGACTTCTTTAAAAAAAAAAGGATATGTTTGTGTTTGCGTGTTCAGCCTTTTTCTACCAACACAACTCTTCTTTCTGCTGAGCTGGGGAAGGCGAGAGCCCTGCCTTATCACCAGCACCAGCCTCTGCGCCAGGCGACCAACTGCCAGGAAGGGCAGCACGGCCCTGGCTGCTCATCTCCCGCTTCCCTGTTTCCTGGGGGAAGCGGCATAAACCCATTCCCCCTCCCGCAAGCACTGTTTCATCTGAGGGGAAGCCTCTGCAGGGGTCTTTTTAAACAGGACCTAGGAGACAGCTTCCCAAGCGGCAGCCATGGGTTCGCAGCCCACCGCTGTGCTGGCAAACCACATCGCCTTTGCTGCATTTCTGAGCAGAAGCATGCAGGCAAGCCTGCCTCCACGCTGCGAAAAATGCCGTCGGGGACTGACGGCAAGCCTGCTCTCCGAAAGCTGGGTACTCCTGGGCTTTCGTTTGCATTGCAGCGGAGGGGAGGCAGACTCAGCACCCCGGGACACTTCAGTGGCTGCTCGCCACCTTGTGCCACCCTTCCAGCACAGGGTGCCGAGGAAGCTCACTCACTTGCAACCTCTCCATCCAGACTTTTCCCCGACAGGAGGGGAGAAGGAAACAGAAGCTCAAAGGCCAGTCTAGAAATTCACCAGAAGGCAACATTTAATGAGCGGCGGTGGAAAAGCAGGCTCAAAGCAGATAAACAGACGTGATGGAGTGAAAGGTCTGTGCTCGGTTAGACCTTTGTTGTCCACAGACTTACTGCACATGAACAGGCTGCTCTGCATCATGAGACCAGGCTAACTGGTGCTACAGCTAACTCAGGCCACAACAGAGTCTTAGGGGGGATGAATTCAAAGGTGGAGTAAAGATACCGTCCTCATCCAGGCTCAACAAAGTAGAAATGATTTGAGTGTACGTCTAGCAACAAATGTGACCTGCGCCTCCTTCTGACCTGCAAGGTGCCATGCACTGCAGTCTGAAGGAGATGTTGCAGCAAAGCAGTCTGTGAAATGCATCATTTTGCAGAACGTCACCCTTTACTCAGACAGCACTTTTGACAAAACAGCTCAAAACTCATATTCTTCACCAGATGATACACATATTTTGCTCACTGCCAGAGGCACTCCCATCTGTATCTTAAGCTAGACCCCCAATTCGGAGGTGCATTTAAAAAAATGGAGCAACCAGTGGACACTCCTTAGGCAAAACACACACATTCTGGTTTTGAAGGCAGAAGGAATCCTTTAAAAAAACAAACCCAACAAACCCTCGCAATTGTACCAAATGTTATCTGAAGACAAGGTCACCTGACAAAACATGACAAATACTAATAAACCATAAACAGTCAACAACCAAGCTTCTCATCCCAGCAGTGAACTCCTCAGGAAAAATCTTCCCCTCTTGCACAAAAGATAAAACGCCGCACAAAACAAGCTATCAGCTCCAGAGCCCTTAGCTTCCTGCCCTCTCCTGCTATCAGGGCCATAACACAATCGCCTCCTTTGTTTCTCAGGAGCGTAACCTGGCTTATCTGATCCATATCTGACGTATGCAGCCAGGCTGTGTTTAAATCCTGCGGCTTCATCCTATGCCACATCTCCAAGACCTTCCTCCCCGGCTGCCAGCCTCTTCCCTAGTCTTTTGGTGTTTCACGCTGAGCCCAACGGCATGGCTCTCTGGCCACACATTTATACCCATATTTTTGTTTCACCAGATTTTTTAATATTTGCAACGTATGTATATGTTTTATATACATATATTGTATATATATTATATATATTTCTATAGACATTTGTATACTTTATATATATATTTATACATACTTTTTAATATTTGCAACACTGCATGCTGTGCTTGCTAGGGATGAAATTTTTTTTAAGCTTTTAATACTGTATAATCATTCATTAATCTCCGAATTTTGAAGAGCTCTTACGGCATTTGAAACAAAGAAGTGGAGACAGGCAAGGACAGTTTTGTCAAGAGGTGACCTGGCTCCCTGCTCACGAAAATCTAAACCATCAGATAAAAGCTTTTTTAATCCCTGTGCGTTGATCTGGCAACAGGCAGCAATGTATTTTAGGGGAAGTCTATTAAAACTATTTAACAGACTAAGCTCAGTCGTCTTTCAGTCACAGCTGCCACTTAGGCACTTCGCTCAACTCGTGTGCAAATATAATATTTTACAATATTAACTGTAATGTAACAAGTTTAAGGAAAACAAAGACAAGAAGAAGAAATTAATAAAACAAGGTTAGGTTAAATGTTCAGAAATGAACAGCACTGCATCCTTTGGAAAAAAGAGACTAGGATGTGTTGAAAATCCTACTTCAAAAGAAATCCTGCATTTGAAATATTAAAAATGAAGTTGACAAACAAGCCTATAAATTTAAGTCCCGAGGCAAAGCCCTGTGCCCCAGCCCGCTCCCCCCATGCCTTTCACGCAGTATTGTGCTCATGGAGGTGCCAGAAACTTGACCCTCAGCGCCCTGTTCCAGTGCTGAAAACATTAAAGTTTTGTCACAAGTTTTACAAAAATCTCAAAGCTTCATGATATCTTTGAATCAGGGAAATATAAGAGAACCTGAGTTTTCATTGAAAAGGGAACAGCTTTTCCAGAGAAAACTACGAAAATGTGATCTGTGATGAATTAGAGAGGTTAAGAAAATACACACCAAGTAGGAAAGCAAATAGTAAGAAAGCCTCCAGCATGTTTTTGTGCCTTATGCTTTTAAAGGCAGTATCAGAAATCAGAGTGGAAGAAATTCAGGAGTTTTGAGCACTGGTGGCTGATATTACAAAAGGAAATTTTGCATTTTTACGTCAGTGGTGCCCATACAGTTAAGAGGGGCTGCAACCGGTGTAAGAGGGTTCTGTTTGACATTGTGAAAGCCGTAAGTTAGAAATATTTTACTTTAGTTTAAATCCAGCCCTTATGGGTTACAAAGAGGACTGGAATGAATGCAATATTTCCGTTACATACATATACATTTATATATAGGCAAGGCTTATTTTTCCGGGTGAAAAATATGACTGGCGTACTTCTCCTTGAAGCAGATAATAAAGCAGATCCATTGTTATGTTCCAGCTGGAAGAATTAACTCTTTAGTGCTGGAAAGACCAGCCACAATTTAGTTATAAACTGGTCTATTGAGCTCTCAGCTGTGAGCCGAAAGAGAGGGAACCTAAGATAAGACAGACGAAGAAACATGAAAAGCTGGTTAAAATGTGATTTCTTATTCCACCTACTTCTACTGAGTTCTGGCAGAAGGAAGCTCCATAAAAAAGGTGAACTTTGGGCAGAACAGAAACACATGTGAGCAACCAATTGTATTTAACCATGTAGGGGAAGGACCACCAGAGATCTCCTGTTTCATCAGGTTTACAAGAGTCTCCTTGGAGGCTGCAACAGATTGTCACTCGGAGCTTACAGCAAATCGCTAAAAATGCGTGGCTAGCTGTAGCTGAGCAGCAGTATGTCAAATATTTTAGGGAGTCGGCACAAAGCAAGTGCTCTGGTCCAAAAAAAAAAGGCTTTGAGATATTTTGGCAATATCCACACCCCACCGAGTACCAATGCCAAATTCTGCTTGCCTTCCAGTTATAAATTATTACTGCAACACCTCTAATAAATACAGTTGTAGAGTTAAATAAGTTACAGTACAATGCTTCAAGGGAGTGGAAATTATAAAAAGGCAGTTCAGCTGGGGATTAACACAGCGACCAGAGGGAATTCATTTAATCTAAAACAAATTAGACTCTCATTTGATTAATTTGCTAGAGGCAAAGCAAAAATCTGTGGAGTAGAACTGTGTAATTTCTAGTTCTTGTTCTTAAACCTTAAATAAATTAATCATGGACCACTTACGAGTCACTCTAAGGTCAAGTAAGAAAGAGCTGGCCTGGAGCCAAAAAGGATGCCAAATCTGCCCCAGGACTATGTGGGGTCTGTAACCACTGCACCGCTCGGTCCCTTCGCTGGAACAGCACCAGATCTGAGAAGCCTTTGGTGCAAGGTGATTTTAGGGAAATTGTTTCCATTTTCTCCCCTTCCTTTTGTGGGTGTCATTGTTGGCATACAGAAGGTGTCACAGAAAGCTGCTAATGTACATGTCCAGCTCTCACCTTTTAACAGTATACCCCATTCAGGCATTTAAACATAATTAACTAAGGAAGCAAACTCGACCTCAGAACTGTAGAGATGCTGGGTCGTGTGGTGGCTGCGGACACGTGGTATCC